GACCCACTTATCATTTGACAGTGTAGTATTTACTATCTGTGTGTTTTCATATTTTCTGTAGTTTTTCTTGGTGTTTATTTCTAATTTTATTCCACTATGATGTAATAAGATGAAGTAATTATATTGATATTTTTGTATTTTTAAGAGTGATTCTGTAGCCTAAAATATGGAATATTTTATAGAAAGTACATTGAGTACTTGAGGAGAAAGTTAAAGTTAAAGTGTGTTGTTGTATGAAATATTCTATTGATGTCTGGTAAGTCCATTCTACTTATACAATATTTTTTAGGTCTAAAGAGGCTTTGATGAGTTGATTCCAGAGATTTATCAATTGGAAAGAGAGGTGTGTTAAAATCACCCAGTATTTTTTTTATATTAGGGTCTATCTGATTCTTAAAGTCTAGTAGTGTCTGTTTTTTACAGTGAGGCACACTGGTATTTGGGGCATAAATATTTATTATCATTATATCTTTTATTGAAATAATTTGACCTGTTTTAAATGACCTCCTTTCTCTTCTGATAATTTTTGTTTGAAGTCTGATTTGTTGGATATGAGCATTGCTACTTTGACTTGTTTAGGGACTCAATTTGAATAGAATATACTTTTTCATCCTTTCTCTTTAAGCATATTGCTATCTTTTCCTATAAAGTGAGTCTCTTGCCAACAACATATAGATGGGTCTTGTCTTGTTAACCATTCTGACAATATTTATCTTTTACTTAGAAAGTTGAGACCTCTTACATTCAATGGTGTTGTACAGAGGTGTTTATTAATTTCTGCCATTTTTTCTATATGTAATTTGATCTTATTTCTCATTTTCTTAGCTGTTCTTTAAATGAGATTTGTCCATTTTGAGCTCCTAAGTTTGCTTCTGACTTCTGTTTATGTACCATTTAAGTATTTTTGTAGTTCTCTCTTGGAAATTATGAATTATTTTTTGCTTATCTTGAAAGATTTTAATTTTTTAAAATTCTGAATAATAGCTTTCTTAAGATATCACAATCTCGGTGAACAAGTATTTTATTTAACATTGTTCAGTTCAAAGTCATTCTGGATATTAGCTTTTATGGTAAGAAATTGGAAGTGACCTGATGATTTTTTCTTGAGGATTTGAAAATTTTATTCTTTCTTTATATTTTAGGCCTTTTAATTATAACATGTTGTGGAGAGATTCTATTTTGATCATGTCTATTTGGGGTTCTGAATGCATTCTGTATCTGAATGTCCAACTCATTTCCAAGATTTGGAAATTCTTCTATTAATGTTTCCCTTAAGAGTTTCTCCATGTCATTAACCTGCATCTGAAAACACTCCCCAATTCAAATAAGTCTTAAATTTGCTCTGATAATGTCTCAGAATTCTTGTACATTCTGTTCATGGTTCCTTTTTATTTTCCTTAATACTATCTGAGTGTTTGAGGTGGGACATTTTTTCTCCCAATTCTGAGATTCTGTCATCTACATAATCAACTCCATTGGGGAAACTTTCATATGAATGTTTTATATGATTTAAGGTGCCTTTCATTTCCAAGATTTTGGTTTGGTTCTTTCTAAATATCTCTATCTCTTTGCTAAATTTATCATTCATATCTTGTACTGCCTTCCTCAATTCATTCAGTTATTTTTTTTGTGTTCTTGCATAATTCATTGATCATTTTTATAATTATTCTTTTGAATTATTTATATGGTATTTTGTTCACTTTAGTATCATTGGGATAATTTGCTGGTGAATTACGAACTTTAAGGGTGTCATGTTATCCTGTTTTTTGGTATTTCTTATATTCCTATGTTGGATTTTTTCATCTATTGAAGTAGATTTTCCTTCTACACTTATGCATTTGCCTTTTTAAGTCACAGCATTCTCCTGAAAGGGGGTTCTGTAATATCCATTTGTTGTGAACTATTCTATGTACTTCCAGTAGAGATTTGCAGTAGAGTATCCCTACCAGTTCTATAGTAGTGTAATTTGTGTACTTTATATCAAGTGCATTGATTAGTGGCTTCAGAATTACACTTTTCTGTAGGTCTCACATCCTTCTATAGATGGAAATTGGTTGTATATAGCAGGGTTCATGGTTTACACCTCCATGAGTTTTTTTCTGGATTTAACAACTTTGTATATTCTAAAAGGGTATAGGAAAATTATATTGAGATGCTTTGTCCACAGTCTTTGTGTTATTTTCTGTGTTTGTGCTTAGGGAGCAGTAATTCAGGAGTGGCACCTGAGTCCCTACCTCCAGCCATTCCTACTTAGGACCTAATTATCAGATTGAGGATTTCATCTCCTTTACTCTTTGTATTAAAGTAAAGAGTAAGTGTTATCTGTGAAATCCATACTACTAATAAACACAACAGTAAAAGTAGCAGGGGTGAAAATTTTGTGAACTAAATAGTTCTAAATGGTGATAAGAATACATTTTATTTAAAGGAAATAAAATGGAACAAGAAGAAAGTTTGGAATAATCAGTACATTAAGCAGAGAGAAGGAAACAAGATAGCATGTGAGGGCTAAAGTAGGTGTAAAAGAAAAACATAGAAAAGAGAACAAAAAATAACATAGAGCAAGATCATCTGGATATTAGATGAAGAAAAAAGGAAAGAGTAACAATGAAACAAAAACATAAAAAGAAAGACTGAACAAAACAAATACAAATATTAATCCTCAAAAAATAAAACAGAGGAAAATAACAAATGGACATTTTTTAAAATGATGAACATAAAAAAGGAAAAAGAAGCAAATATATGTGTGTGTATATTCATAAAACTATCAGCAAATAAACACACAAACACACACACACATAAACATTTTCATGAAACCTGAAAAAATATTCTCTGTGGAGAGGGTCAAAATTTGACAAGGATAGGTGTTCTCTGCCTATGACAGACTGACCTTCTTTCCATTACTTCCTGGACTCTCTCCCCCCTAGATAGAGCAAGAAATAGATAAACTCTTCCTTTTCTGTGTTGCTCACAAGGCTTCCAGCTAGATTGTCCTGGAACCAAAACTGGTTGAAATAGCTCTCATCTTTTCTTCTCATCAGTCTAAGGTAGAACTGTCAGTGAAAGAGGGAGAACTGTCAGTGGTGTTCCCAGGGTGGAGATTATAGAGTTTAAAATGGAAATTTCTGGTGATTGGAGTTTATCTCTGCTACAAACTTTAGAGCTTTGTATGGTGATATTGTTAGGGGACAGACTGATGAAAATGGTGGGAACTTGACATACTTTCTTTTACAAGAAGCAATTTACCTGGAGCACTATCTGGCCAAAGTGGACAGGATATGTCACATTCCTCAGCAAACTATCTTTTATTTCCAAGATTTTAACCACCTTTCATTTCCAAGATGTTAACTGCAGGAGATGTGCAGGCCCAAGATAATATCAATGAGAGGAACCAAATTTACCCTGAAGGGTAGACTTTTTTTCACCAGATCCTGAAACCCTGGAGATTAGATTAGTTCCTTTTAACCCTAAAATCTGTAAAAATGTATCATTAAGTATCCAATTACAGTTTCAAGGACTATGTTAAATATAAGTGGTGAAAGAGGGAATGCTTTTCAATTTTTCTCCATTTAGAATGATGTTTCCCTTTTACAATATTGAGCTATGTTCCTATTATCCCATCATAATCTATTCCAGTCCCCTCCAATCACTCACACATTTCACTCAGAGATTATGCTGTCAATTTCAAAGGGAAGTCCTCTTCGTTCTTCTCCACTCTGCAGACTGATTGACTAGTCACTCTGAGTTTAACCCCACACTGTATTCTCATAAAAGAGTATTCTCTCTTTGTTGCCCAAATCAGCTCTCAGTATGGACACTCACAGATATTCAAAATGCATGTGTACCAAGTGAAAGACAAAAATGAAGAAAAAAGAGGGAGAAAGAAGACAAATAAAACAGAAAATGCTATCTTAAAAACAAGGATAAAATTCAGGAACTCCCAATTGGGGAATCAGGAAGGATAATTAACAAGTTCCTTTAAGCTGTCAGGGCTTCCCTGATCCAAACACCTCTGCTGGAAGGCTCCAAGACCTTTTCGGGGAGTGGTGGTTCACTCTCCAGCCAGACACATCTAAAACATTCTCCTGAGTAAACACAGCTCAGCTTTCCTGAATTTATTATCTGTTCTGATTGTGGATATATTGGTCAGTGTCTGTTTTTCTTGAGCTAGGTGGTAGAAAGACTTTTGGCTTCTTGAGAAATGCTTCCCTTCTTGCCACTGAGTGATTACATTCCTGACTCTTCCACTGCCTTTATTATTTCTCTTTCTGTCCTGAAAATTACTCATTTTTGTTTTCTCCTGGTTATTGGTACACTAAGTTGCTCCCTGCTCTTTCCCATCCTTCACCTACTTCAGTTTGTCACTGCAAACTCTTGAGGACCTACTCTGACACTCTGGATCCTTCTGAGTTACCAATCTCCAAAGGAAAATGTGTTTGCAATAATTCTTTCTACACATTACAAAATGAGGCTTACATCAAGGATAAGCTGACAGTCCCAGAACTTCAGGTAAGGATTCATTGATATTTTGTTTTCATGGTTCTTTTTTAGTAAATATAATTAGAGTAAGCATAGTTGACTTGAATTCCAAATAGTGTATCATATTTTAAAAACTGAATCCCATGCCTAAAACATTATTTGTTGTTTATCTATGATATGAATATAACAGGATATCTTGTATTTTACCTATTAGTAAATACAGTATATAACAGTTAAAGAGAAACTCACATGAACAGTGAATAATTTTCAGTATATCACTTGCAAAGCTTGGGATAATATTTCACAAAAAATATTTACTAGTTATCATGAATTGAAAGATTTTCAATGTCCTCAATTTCATCTGATCATCCTACTTGCTCTGCTTCTCAAATTGTACCAAGACACTTGTTCTGAGAGCACATCCTCATGTAGAACCAAGAAGAAATAAATTTTTATGTCCTGATGCCATGTACATTACCATACCATGGTTTTAGAAGAGAAAGACAAAAGGGAGCTCATACCTTGAGGAAATAAAAAAGAAGAACATCGGTATAGACACAACCAGCTGGAGAGTATGCCAGTTTCGAATAGCAAAAGCCAGGCTTCCCAGTAGGATATTCCCGAAACTAGTAGCACACACTGCCATTGTTGTTCCCATAGCTTGGTATTTGGGACTTGTCCATTCTACAACTGAAAGAAAACATCGCTGAATAATTACTTCAAGCAAAGCTAGAATATCAAGGTCAAAGTCAAATCTCAGTAAATGTCCAAGAGTCAGTGCTGACTTACTGAGAAGAATAGCATTTGTCAGGATGGTCGTGGTGGACATGCCAGCCAGGAAGCGTAGTGAACAGTACACCAGGAAGGTGGAAGCAAAGGTAGCACAGGTGTCAGCAACGGCCAGCTGGAGAAGACACCATGTCAGAAGTAACCTCCTCCCAAATCTATGGAAAAGGGTAAGATGAGATTGTGGGAACAATAACAACTGTGGTAAAAATTAGCACAAAGAAAGCACTTCACACCTATGAAATATCCATAAAGGACCAACAGCTGATATTCTCAAATCAACTCTCCTTCTTTTAAAATAGATAGCTTGACCTCACAACTACTTCTTGAATTGTTACCAGTAGTTCAACACCAATTCAAGCTATATAAGACATGCTGCAGTGTTAGAAATATTAATACCTCATAAATATTTCTTGCACTGAGCCATACACTTATGATAGTGGAGAGTCAACGTTGTGTATAAAATATTAAAGTCAGCCCTTGAGACTCTAGAACTGCACAAGTTATGGCTAACATGATGTAATAGGAACAGCTATGAAGCAGTACATCAACATTGCTGATGGGTTGGGTAAGAGTCCCTATCTGCTCAGTGGATTTGTTGACCTTGGAAACAAAACATATTTGTAAAAATATAACATGTATTTATCACAGCAAAAGAAAATATAAAGTTGACCTTTTCTTAGGTTTGGGAAGGCAAGCATTGGGTGGTAATCTGCTTGCCCATTCCCCAAAGGTGGCTCAGGAACACTGTTATAGATCTCCACTGTGGAGCACTATGTAGCAATTAGAAATGTGAACTAAAAGTACAGATAGTAATATGTATGTATCCCAAAAATAGAGTGGTAAGTACACCATGGAGAGAAAGGCACAACACATTTAAATTACATGTAAATTAAGTGCATAAACCCAACTGTCTCATTTTGTAAAATATGAATTTACAGATATATAAGTAACATACTATAGTGTCCCTTATTGAGAAGAAAAGGTTGGGATGCTTCCATGTATTCTAAAGAAAAATCTCCCAATATTCCATTGAAGATTCATTGTATGTGAAAAAGCACTTTTCCTTGCTTCATTGGGACTTCACTCTTTTTACTCTTAAACATTTTTAGGATAATGTAGCATAGTGAAGTCCTTTGAGTTTACCTACTGAGATTTTATTTTCATGATGCCCTGGCATGACACTGACAATGTCTTTTTCCTGTCTACATATTCAAGCAGGCTGAATCTGATGTGAATCTGATATGGTGACATATCCACCTCTGTGTCCCCATTGTTAACTGTTTGCAATCTTTCAGACTCCATATTGTGGTATCTTCTCTCCAAAGCCTCTGGTAAAACACCTCCAAATCTCATGCTAATTTTCTACACACAGGACTCAAGTCTTTTATAAACAGCATTTATCATACTGAATGACATTTTGCATTTGTGTTTGTAGATCCCTGGGAACAAAGGTACAACCAGGACAGTGTAATTTGTAATAATTTTTTCATATGCATAAATGATTCATAAGCTGATGATAGTACCCAGGGGTAGAGAGATCTGTGAACCAGAGACACTCACCTGTCTGACAAAGTGCCATATACAATGTTTCCAATCAACATTCCAGCCATGAAGAAGAATTTAGATACTGAATTCAGTGACTGAGATTCACATACCAGATCCCACTGGAAGACAATGAAACCAGCATAACAAAACACCTTCACATGACCTATAGTTTTCTTTATGTCAGGCCCCTGTGTTCTTTTTGTAGCTTCTGTTTTCAAAAACACTGCAATTATATCATCCTGTTCTCTGTGTAAAATAATTTTATCTAGGAAGACTGCCTTATACCTATGGGTTCCATTAATGATCACTTTAACCCATACCAAGAAGTTCTCAAATCTGGCCACAGACCACCATCATTCAAAGATCTTGAAGAATTTACTGAATCTTGAATACCACTGCACACTTTCCCACATGATTACTCTAGAAATTCATTCTGTGTACCCAGGTTTTGATCAACCAACCATACATATCTAATTGGCAATCAAGGCAGGGTGTTACTGATTTAGCATCACATTTTTAACAAGACACATATTTACTTACTTAAACTGTGATATTCACAAGAATCAAAGTACCATGACAGTAGGCTCCTATTTGTTTTTTATCATTACATTAAGTATGTTCCCTGAATTGCTTTAAAAAAAAAAAAAAACAGTAGTTTCTGAAAAAAAGAAAAGAAGAACCAGCACTCACACAGCAATTAAAGGCTCAAAGCATGTTCATTATTTTCATTGTTTCCACACATCCAAGTCAAATACTTATGAGTGGAAAATTAAGCCTTTTACCTCAGTCACGGTGGTGGAGAGGAACAAGCTCCGGTCATATACCCACCCATCCATGCAGGGCTCCGTGTCCACCTCACTCATGTTTGAGAAGGTTCCATTCATATGAAGGAGCTGCCATTGTGGGTGGATGAAGCGATGACATTTGTCTGGCCTCAGGCTTGAGTCTAGTGGGATGGAGATCCTCAGGAGGGCTTCTTGGCTGAGGGTCCCAATGTCATTGTCAGAGACAGTGGCATTATCGAGTATGTGGACCCAACAGCGATGACCAAGGATGACTGCAGTGAAATTCTCCAATAAAGTATGAGTCTGTGCCATGGCATTGTAGGTAAAAAGAAAAGCCATCTGAATTATCTGGAACCTTCCCAGACCACCAACTTGATCCAGGAGGTCCTGAAAGGCCATAGTGGTTGAATGACCCTCACCAACTGAAGACAAAATCGTTGTATCCAGATGAGTTCAAAGAACAAAGTGTTCTATCCTCTCTCACTCTGACACAGCAAAGGCTGTTGACCCTGACCTCACTTTCTTCTTAATGGCCCCCTCTTCACCTCTATGGCAATTCCACGAAGCTAATATCCCCTAGTCATCCTCAGGTTACTTGGTGGCTATTTTCTTTCAATCACTGAGTGAGAGATTTTGCTGAGGTGCTTCCTACAATTAAATATGTTAATGATCTACTTTGTGAAAATTCTTGTTGTGGGCAATGAACTGCAGTTAATATTGGACATTGATCTGCAAATACTCTGAAAACAAACCAGAGTAACTCTGCTACATGCTTTGTGATTTTTTTAGAGAACATGTAGTTTGCAATACTCATTGAAGTGTTTGATTTTTCTAGGAGAGATGGAGAGAGATTTTTGGTTTGATTAGTACTAAATCTTGATTGACAGAGGTTGTAAAAAAAAATCACCCAAATTAAATTAATGCAGTGAAGTGTTATGGTTTGGATGCAAGATACCCCAGAAAAGTTTATATGTTAGGCAATGAAGGAACATTCAGAGGGGCTGTAATGAGTTTATGAGTGCCCTAACCTCACCACTGGGTTCAATCATTTGATGGATTAATAGTGAGTGGCTACTGGGTGGTAACTTAGGCAGATAGGGCTTGGCTGAAAGAAGTGGATCACTGGGGGCATTCATTTTTAAACAGAAGTTTTGAGAGCTGACATTCCTGTAGAATTTTATGGGAAGCATTCAACTGTCAGCCTCTTCCATGATGATCTCTGTTGCATGGACTCTCTCTCATCCAGCAAGGAGGTCCACAGTACAGGGTAGAGAAGAGTGTGGCTGCAGAATTGCTAACAAAGACCTCTGGAGACCAAGCAGGAAGCAGGTCTGCTTTTATTGCACAATGCTATGTATATACACCCAGGTAGTAGCCAAGCAGAATGCAGGCAGTGACCAATGCAATTTCTACTAACCATCCTTGCAGCAACCAATCAAGGAGTGGGCCATGGAGTAAATGCAAGGACTGCAACAGATGGCCTCATGCCCAGGGCTGTGCCTATGGGGTTAGCAGCCTGCCACTCACATGTCTAGCACAAGGAGAGTGGCCTACCACTCACACACCCTTAACTTATGCCACATATGCAATACTCTATGACTTGTTCCCAAATCTCCCCCCTCTGGCCTTTACATGGTTATGTAAGCATCTACAACACAAGAAAAGAAATCACTATTATAAAGAGTAGGGCCAGTAATAGCATTATAAGGATTAGTTAATTTGGCTATCAGGTTTTTCCAATGTTTTGTCAATCCCTAGAAGAAGGAAGAGGTTGTGATGATAAACACCTTAGTCTCACTGATTTTGACAATTGCCTTATTAAGTTCATACATAGTCATAACATAGTTTGCATCCCATGGGCCCTTAATATACTGAGAAAAATTGGAGAAATGTAAGGTAACATTTTCAGATACAGCATATTGAGGGTGACACAAATACTATGGAATTCAGGGTCACAAGTGAGCCTTTGCAACATATACAGAATATTTGTTTGTTTGTTTGTTTTTCTGGTGGAAGTCTAGTTCTTGCTGAATGTCTAAAATAGTATCTCAGGAGAGTTTATTTAAGTCATTTTGAACAGTAAAGATTTATGCCATGGCAGTAGACAAATTGTTTACAGTCTGAGTAGTCTGGATACTCTGAGTGATCAAATAAGTAGCAGTGGCTGTGGTGGTGATGGCGGCTACCAGGGCAATAATTTCAGTGATGACGAAGCTAATTGCACACCTTATCCAGTGTTGGGTCTTATTCAGAAGATTTTTCATCTCCATGTCCCATAGACTCCTTCATTCTCTGGACATATTCATTGTAGCCAAATGTGGCTGGCAGCATGCTGAGGATAAATATATGTTTAGCTTTCATATCAGGGGTTAGACAATTTGTGAGCCAGCAGGATATATTGACTGCACAAGGGATCTCTGTATGAGTGATATTTATGTCATCAGTATCATTGATTATTAGCATGGCAAAGGGTGGTATAACACAAGCTTTTGCATAGTAGGTATGGTATAACTTGGCATAAAGGCAAATCCATGGTCAGGGTCTGAATTCAATATAGCCTCATTCATCCAGCCAACTGCTGCCCATTTGATGCGTCTAGCAGCTAGCAATATTGGCATTATATCCATCATGCCATATTTATTTCCTTCAAAACTGTTAGTGAAAGCTTGTTCCATGTAGTAGATACTGTAGTAGCCATATGATGGGGGTGGGGGGCACATAAGTTACATTCCCAGGAGTTGCGCCTGCCCAGGCGCAATAGATGTTCTTCCCTGGAAAAATTCCTCTTATCAAGGAGATAAGGCATGGCAGTGACACATTGATTCCATGGGATGCTATCATTATCTGAGGGGGGCTTTCCAAGAGGCATTGTTGGGCATGTTGGCAGCAAGAGTTTCTTGCATTTTCCATTCGGGAGTCTATGGCTATAGGTAGCATTAACTAGAACTCTAAAGTCAGAGAGAGAGAGGCAACATATGATGTGTTATAGTTATCTACAATAGTTTCATGGGCAAGAGCAAACCGAGAGGACTGTCCTGATGGTAGGTCTTATTATCAACTATGGAGAAACAAATGGGAAGAGTAGGTATGGAAATGCTGGGATTCCAGGGCACATTTACCCCCTGGATGAATAACTCAGGATCAATAATGTTGGAATTATTGTAAAAGAGCTTGGGTAGTGCTCCTTCCCAATTGGCCACTGCTAAAAGTGGTGGCTTAGTGACCAAAGCCCAATTTAACTGATGGGAGGCTTCAATGTTAGCAGTGAGCATTGCACACACTATGACCATCATCATAGGCCCAAGGATGGGGTTGCCACCAGGCAAAGGGGCTAATCTGGTGGCTTAGTCAACAAGATCTTTAAGGTTACTCCAGGTTACTTTATGTGAGTCCATTTGCATTGTTGAATTCTTTGCTTGTGAAGTTTCTCCTCCAGAGTTAGTTCCTTCATCTTGGTTGGTGGTTCTGGGTGTCCAGGGCTTGACTTCCTGGCAGGCACCCAGATGGAGTGAGGCTCCTGTTAACATATGTAAATCCTCCACCCATGGTTAGGAAGGGCCCTGGACCATCCCATGCATTTGTTATGGGATCCTTTCATGAGACCATTGGTGGATGGGAGGGTCCCATGAGTGGGGCCCAATGCTTATGAGCTACTATTTCTGTAGAAAATTTTGAAATTGAAAGAAAATTTAAGGCAAATAAGGTTTTGTTCAAGGCATCATGAGGGGACTTGGTATAGTTTCCCCTCTCTATTTTGCAGCATGGTCTTTAAATTCCTTGTGTGTTCTTTCTATGATGCCTTGAGTCTAAAGGATGTAGGGGATCCCAGTTAAGTGCTGTATGTGCCAACCATTGCAAACTGCTTGAAATGTCTTACTAGTATAGGCTGCTCCATTGTCAGATTTAATAGACATGGGAACATCCACAATTCCAAAATATTTAAGTAGATGGGAGATGATCTTTTTGGTGGTTTTTCTTGTGGAGGCTGGGGCCATTACACAGCCTGAATAGGTATTAATGATTACTTTAATATACATATTTTTTCAAAAGGTGCATAATGAGTGACATCCATTTGCCATAAAGCACTAGATTTTAACTCTTGGGGGTTCACTCCAGCAGGTTGTAAAGGGACAATGGGAAAAAGGGAGCACTTTTTTGCAGTCTCTGAGTAGTTGTTTACAAACTTCCTTAGTCCTGCTTTTATGCAACTGCCATGGCTGAGGCCAGCAGAGAGGATTGAGCTGCTTGTGTCCCTGTATCCTGCGTGGCCAAAATCCAGTCATCCAGTGTGGCATTTCGTACTGGTACCATTGCATCTCTATGTTCCATATTTAGTCCATCCCAGATCATTTCCTTGGTTAGGGTTGCCCTATCTCTTTCATGAGACACCTTCCCTTCTACCACCTTGTTTACTCTTTAATAAACTGTGGCACCTCCTCAGTGGCTTTCTGCCTTATGCCCTGTATAGAAATTGTCCTTCCCCCAGCTGGTAACTTCCTCCAGGCTCTCAGAGCACTACAAAACATTCTAAATAAGAGAGGTCATGAAGAAAAAATCAAAAATAAAAATGAAAACCAGCAAATGGAGGAAGTACACTAAAAGAACAGTGAATCAATGGAGAAACTAATTCAAAGTCAAAAGCAGAAATAAATCAACATGACAGATAGTAAAATTCACCTCAATAATAGTAATGAATGTTAATAGCATAAACTCATCAATCAAAAGACATAGACTAGCAGATTGTATTAAAAAACAAGACCCAACAATGTGCAGTCTTCACAATACTCATGAAATGAACATAAAAACATGGGGAAAAACACATCATACACATGAATCTCATGACAAGAAAGGATTTATATGCTCATAAGAGATAAAGTGAACTTTGCCAAACTTAACTAGAAGGGACAAAGAAGAACATTTCATACAGCTTAAAGGAATTATACATCAACAAAATATAATAATAAATATTTATGCCCCAAATAATGGAGCATCAATGTACATCAAAAAAAAAAAACATTCTCAATTTTAAGAATCAAGTAAACTAAAACACAATAATACTGGGTGGCTTTTAACACACCTCTCTCACCACTGGATAGATCATCAAAACAAAAACTAAATTAAAAATCTATAGAACGGCAAAATATAATCTAAAATTTAGACTTAACAAACATACATAAAATATTTCATCCATCAAAGGCTGAATCAATTTCTTCTCAGCAGAACACATATCCTTCTCTAAAATATACCATTTTATAGGCCATACAGCAACTCTTAGCAAATATAAAAAATAAAGGTAATTCTTTGCATATGTTCCCATCATAATAAAATAAAGTTAGAAATCAATGATAAAATAAAAAATAGAAGCTACTTAACACATGGAAATAAGATAATATGTTATA